TTTTTGATGTATTTAGTACAGGGTCTCACTACATAGATAGGACTAGTAGTGATCCTCCTCTTTGCAGCCTCCCAAACACTGGGATTACAGGCATGCGCCACCATGCCCAATCTCAATCTCAGTCTCACGTGCCCCTGGGGCGTGTCCCACATGGCAGGCCAGGTAATCCCCAGTCCCTGCATCTGCCTAAGCAGGTGCTTTAATCTGCTGAGCTGTCTGGCCAGCCAATACAGGGTCTCTTTACACAGTTTGGACTCATAGTGATCCTCCTTTCTCAGCCTCCCCAGCACTAGGATTAGCTCCGCTGCACCCAGTTTTGGTAGCTGGCACTGTGTGCGTGGGGAGCACGGCATGCAGTAGCAGGGACTGAACCTGAGTCCTTGCATTTGCCAGGCAGACACTTAGACCACTGAGCTATCTCCCCAGCCCCTCACTTTGTTTTTAAATAAAAACACTGTTACATTTTAGCAGAGTGTAGTGACCTGTGCTCCTGGCACTATGGGAGGCTAAGGCAAAGGTTAACTCTCTGAGACTGAGGTCAGCCTGGGATACAAAATGAGACTTACCTCAAGAAACAAAGATGATACCTTATTTTATTTTATTGAGAAACAAATAGCAATGAGACAGTTTCAGACCAGGTTAATTGGTAGGATAGTTACAATAATTAATAAGATGATGATGTTAAATGACCTGCCATTGAAGGTCAGTATGAACCTCTGTAATTAACATGTGGCTTTGTTGTCCCGTGGGATAAACTAAGTTGAAAAGTCTGGCCTGGAGCTATAAGTGTGATCATTCTTATTTCTAGTCCCTCTTGGGCTGAAAAGGAACCAAGTCTTAAAGAAATAAAACCCGGGACCCTCAGGCAAGTTTAAGGATAAAATTTTCAGATGTAAGGATGCGATAAAGAGTACCTTAAGAGGTTTGATCAGGTTGAAGGACTCCCGATGCCCACTGTGATCTGGGGGCCAGGAATGTCAGATTCCACCCACCTCTGGGTGCTCCAAAAGGAGGCCCCTGTCTCCCAGTCCTGTTCTCCTAGCTGTCGCCCCAGACCTGTCATCACACACCCCATGCCAGCCCTCTGGAATAACTGGAAACCTTTCCCAGAATATTGTTTGGCCTCCCTTTGAATGGCTGTGCATCTAAAACAGCAAGAAAAAGGCCACATGTTGAGACTGGCTGCACCCCAGGAATGAAGGACTTTATACTCAAGAAACAAAGATGCCGTGCTCCCCAGGCACACAGTGCCAGCTACCAAAACTGGGTGCAGTGGAGCTAATCCTAGTGCTGGGGAGGCTGAGAAAGGAGGATCACTATGAGTCCAAACTGTGTAAAGATACTCAAGAAAATGAAGGACCTTAGCTCATTTTTGTCAGGAACACCTAACCATGTAGCTTCACAAGAGGGAGCAAACTTTGGAGAGCAAGTTATGTGCTTCAGTCGCAGCACTGGAAGTAGCAGGGCCAAGAGTTACATCCAGAGAAAAACCCAAGGTCATGACCATGGTGCTTTTCAGCCTGGCTAGAAAGGGCATGGGGGTGGTTGGGTCGAGGAGCCCCTGTGCATCCTCAAACCGCAGAACCCGATGGGACCAGGAAAAACTGGGTCTGAGACCTGAGAACAGAAAGTCCTAGTGGAGGACACAGGGTCCCACGTAGGAAAACCCAAGGGAGAGACCTCAAAGCCCACCTGCTCCAAACTGCTCCCTGTCCTAGGGGGATCGAAAATGCAACCTGACAGTAGGCCCTGCTTCAGGGTTTCCACACCTTCCTATCCAGCACATAGCAGGATTCAGACTCTTCTCATCCTGGGAGCCAGGGCCTCTCAACCTCTCCTCACCATGGGTCCAGCCTCCAGGGCTCCTCTCTGGGTCCCTGACTTCTCAGCCTCTTTCATTGTTCCCAACTTCTCTTGCCTACAAGTCCCATTCACCTACCCCCCAGTCCGCTTCTGTCGCGGTGGCTACCTTGAAAGCTGCCTCCGCTGAAACTGGCACCCACTGCCCCGCGGCCCTGGTCAGTGCCCTCTGCTCCCCAGCCCCTGGCTTTTGACCACAGCACATCAGCACGGCTCATGTGCTTGTGGCCTCCTCACAGTTTTGAGCCCAGCCCCAGGCCAAGCTCAGTAGCTACTCCCCAACTAAAGGCTTGATCTCCGCATTCCACATTTTGCATTTAAGTTACTCAGCCCCTCCCAGCCTCAGCAATCTCATCTGTAAAATGGGAGATAGGGAATTTGCTTCATAGAATTACTGTGGATCTAATTTGAAAATGCAGGAGCCGGGGAGATGGCTCAGTGGAATAAGCTCTTCCCTGGCAAGTGAAAGGCCCTGAGTTCAATCCCCGGTTCCACCAAAAAAGGAAAGAAAGAAAGGCAAAATTTCTAGCACACTGTGACAACCGATTGAAGAAATCATACCCGCGATTGGTTTCAAATACACACATGGGTGATTTTGCCTTCAGCTCTGGCAAATGCTCTCCTGGCTGGAAAGGAGAGGGGCACAGCAGGATTAGGGGAGTGGAGGTTGTCCATTGGCAGAGGATCGGCTTTGCTTGGCGCTGGCCAGGTCTGCCTTTTACTGCCGCAGTGACCACTCAGTCGCCCTGAGTTGTGCAGGAGAACACTATGGCAGGCACTGGGCACGCACTGGGTTTCTGCCAGTACTGAGCAGACCAGAAAGGGTCAAAAGGACAGATTCCGGAGAAAGGGAGAGCGAGAACTTGGGGTGTGTGTGTGCGGAGTTATGAGGCAGGGATCAGAATGAAGCCAAAAGCTTCATAGCCTTTCCCATCCTCTTCTCCTCCTCTTCCAGGTTCCAGCTAAAATCCCACAGGGAGAGTCTGGAGGGAGGTGAAGGTCGAGACTAGGGATTGAGGACACTGTCCAGGGCCGCGCGAGGGAATCCGTCAGGCTCAGGGACCCAGCGGACGCCCCCGGCTTCCTCCCCCTCCCGCCGGCGCGAGCAGGCGGCGCGCTCCGCGGGGACGGCCGGGCTGAGCGCGACCCTCGGCTCCGCCGCAGCTGCCCCCGTGCCCCAGCCCGCAGCCGCTGGCCAGCCGGGGGCGCCCCCTCCTCTCTCCCCCCGGGCGGGGGACCGGGGGCAGCGCCGGAGCCCGGGGGGAGCGCGGCTCCGCCGGCCGGCCGGCCAGTACAGGGGGCAGCAAGGACGGCCGGGGTAAGCAACGGCGGGGGCGGGGTGGGGGGGGCGTGGGGGCGAGGCATGGGGGAGGGGAGGGGCGGGGGCTGGGGGAGGGGCGGGAGCGCGGGCGCCACGTGAGCGCAGCGCTGGGGCTGGGGACGCCGCGAGGTGCCGGAGGCGGAGAGCGAGCCGGATGCCTGCATCCCCCCCCGCCGAACTCCTACCAATCAGGTCATGGGGAGCCCAGCGTCCTCCGATGCACCCCCCAAGCACCCCCGCGGGAACGTGGTGCAGACAGCCGGCCAGACTTGTGACCTGGTCTCCGAGATTCACTAAAAGCCGGGGTCCTCTTCAGTCTGGGGGCAGGGACCCAGGTGTCCAGGAGCAGCGAGGGGTCCTGAAGGCGGCTTTGGCCCCAGTGCGTGGCTCCGGTTCCTTGCTGGCCACAATCTGTGTGCAGACTCACTGCGGAGCGCAGGCCCTGGGAGAGAGCTCAGGGGCCTGGGCCCTGCTGCCTAGGACTGTCCCTTCCATCCCCACCAAGCGCGGCACGTGGGCTTAGGAAATGCTTGGACCTAGGACTTCTGCCCAGGAGGAAGGAGGGGGCATTGGTCACTTCCGAGCTGGGAACGGGGGTCACCCTTAGGCCAGTGAGTTCCGTGGCCCCGCTAAGGGGCATCTCTTGCACCCTGGCACAGTGGGCTGTTCCCAGATTTCATCTGTGCTGCTCCGCAGAAAGGACAGGTTTCTGGGTGGGGAACGCGGTGTCTGAGAGAATCTGCAGGTAGAGTACGACCTAGAAACCTCTACATTGTCATACCAATAGAGAGGCCCAGGGCTCTGGTGTTCCTTGCCCTGTCTTCCTCCCTTAAGACTGCCCCCTCCCCACCTGCTTATTCTGTTATGTAATTAACCCAGCTGAGTCTCGCTGCCTCACTATTGGGTGTCCAGGGATGCCCTGGGAACCCAGTGGCCTGGGGGTACCCACGGGGAGGGGGAAGTGGTACTTCCCCATGTAAGCATGCAAGCACCTGTTGGGGAAAGGAATTCACCGGGCACAGAGCAGATCAGGGTCCTAGACTTTTTGTTTTTTTTTTTTTTTCTTCAATAAAATGTGAAGAATCTTCCTCTCACAGTTTGTGTATGGGAGCCTATCCAACAGTAGTGAGTAACCCACTCCCCAAGCTTGCTAGGAGAGTCCTAGTAATGATCTGTGGAACACCTTAAAGCAAAGGCCCCCTGCGTGTGATGGCAGCCACTGTTTACTGTCACCTATTCTGTGCCCAGTACTGTGCTTCCCATGCTTAGCCTAACCACAGCACCCCATGAAATTTTTTGTAATGACCTGAAGTCACACACACTTTAGGTGACTGGTAGAGCAGAAAATCAATCCCTGGTGATTGTCACTCCAAATTCTGCCCTGTGTTTACTATAATTCATGCATACCTACTCCTAGATCAAGTCTTTTGAACCACAACAACCTGCAAGATACTTGGCTAGAAATTGCACATACATGGCAAGAGCATGCATCCACACGAAATCATACACACATGCATGGCCCCATCAAAATTCAGCAAACCTGGGACAACCCACTCAGGCCCCCCTTCTGTCCCCCTGTAGGATAGATGCTTTCCTTCCTCTAATAAATATATTCTGCTCTTTAAAAAAAAAAAAAAACAACAACAACAAACCTTTCTGTCCTAATCCTACTTAGCAATCGTTGGGGGTCCCTCTTAACTGAAAGGCAAAGGTTTCTAACTTCTGACTAAAAAGTTTCTGGGATTTTTCAGAAATAGGGACTGTTGACCCCCTTCACATATGGCCTAATCACAGCTCTGATTGGGCAAGTGATTTGCCTGCCTACTGGCCCACTGGTAGGGAACCTCAAAGCTGGGGTTTATAACGGAGCTCCAAGAGTCGTGGAAACTGAGCAAGCAAAGATCTAATGAATTTCCATCAAAGTCCAGCCTCTTAGCAGCTCTTTCCCAGGCACTGGCTCTGTGCAAGGTTCTCTGAACTCCTAGAGCTGCCCTCAGCTTGTAGGAGTCACCATCTAGAACCATAAAACTCGAAAGCTGCAAATTGTAGAAAGGAGTGGCTGCTGTTCCCAACTGTGTGTATGACTTTGGACATAGGAGCAGCATCTCCATTAGGGATGTTGTATTAACCAAGGAGAAATAACCATGAGACGTGAGAACAGTATGTGCTGTGTGGTGCTGCTGTCCAGAGTCACCGTGGACATCATGCAGTGGTTCTCTGGTGAGAAAGAGGAAGGTGTTTTTGGTCATCCTGAGGTGGCTGCTGCTGGCAGTTAGCTCCTAGGAGATGCCATGAAAGTACAGTACTCCACGATGTGGGGACAGTGCTGCACAAGAAAGTGTTCTGCACACAAAATGCCAAGAGTTCCTGCACTGAGATGCATTTGTCTCATCTTGGCTCTTCAAGGTGAGGCCGAGGCTTAGAGGAGTTGCTGTCTTATTCCAACACAGTAGGAAAGTTGGGATTTGAACTCACATCCAGTGTTCTTTCCGCTCTGCTGTGCAACTTGCCTTGGTTGGAGAGTCAGACTGGTGAAGAGTTGGATCACAGTGCTAGTCAACTGGGATGTCCTGGCAGAACAGGGCCCACAAAGAGAAGAAAGTGCAAAGGGAAAGTTTTGAGTAGGTAGACTCAGGAATCTGGGAAAGAGAAGGCATTCCAAGTGGCAGTGAGTGACAGCTTGAGCAGTTCCCAGAGGCAGAAAAGTGCAGGACTAAGCCTATCTCTTGTCCCCCAGTCCAGGTGGAGGCCGCAGAGGTCCCAGGGCAAGCAGAGGCAACAATGATTGGTCCTGACGGTGGCTGAGCCCCCAGCCCCTGGAATATGCAGCCCGGGGGAGCCCCAGGCAAGGACGCGGTGGCGGAGTGGGGCGGGAGGCATGGTCTCCACCTACCGGGTGGCTGTGCTGGGGGCGCGAGGTGTGGGCAAGAGTGCCATCGTGCGCCAGTTCCTGTACAACGAGTTCAGCGACGTCTGTGTGCCCACCACCGCCCGCCGCCTCTACCTGCCTGCTGTGGTCATGAACGGCCATGTGCACGACCTCCAGATCCTGGACTTCCCACCCATCACCACCTTCCCTGTCAATACGCTGCAGGTAGGTGGCCCTGGGGGCCATGGACATGGGGTGGTGGGGTGATAGACTGAAGGAGGCTAAACTCCAAGGCTTCAGCTCTGATCCGATTGCCAGGGCCCACAGCTGGTTTTGAGAGCTCTGCTGTACCTCAGGCCAAGAGCCTGTTCTTTTGTGTGCTAGCTTATTCAACAAATACTTGATGACTGCGTAATGTGTGCCAACCTCTGCACTGGCTACCTGCACAGAATGGCCAGCAAAACAGATACAGAATTTGCTTTCAAGGAACTTTAGTCTGGTGAGAAAAGACTAACAGGCAATTATTAGACAGTGTGAGAAGTGCTGTGATTGGAGGAGACAAGCAAGATAAAGCTGCCCTTAAGCAGGCATCTGTCTAACCCATTCGGGTGGGGTGGGAGGGTCACAGGATGTGATGTCTCCATTAAGTAGGTTTAGGCAGGTGAAGGCTAGTGGGAAGAAGGGTAGGGAAACACCTGCTGCCTGGGAAGACTCTGGGCCGTACCTGCTATGGTCCTAGACGCTCCTCTGGTCCTCAGCCATAGAAGAGACTGCAGAATAGGCTGGGACCTGAGAATGTGTTCTCAGGTCACATCAGATTTTTTTGCCCAAGCTCCTCTGTTCCTAGGTAATACCCCGCCCCCTCCCCACCTCAGGGCCACCTGCTGAGCACCTTCCCTATAGGGTTTGAATTTTAAGTTCCTTGCTTATGGTGTGTACACACACACACACACACACACACACACACACACACACACACACGCCTGCTGGAACCAGGCCCTTTCTCTCTCCCTCCCCACCCCGCATCTGTCTCTCTCTTGCTCACTCACTCGCTCTGGCTTTAAGATGTGTTTGCTCACAAGGGAAGCCTCTGACAGGAGTGTGCAGAGGTTTGCAGAGGAGCTCAGTGATGGAAACTCAGAAGGCAAGGCAGAGAGAACAGGCCCTGCAGATACAGCAGTCTCAGCTGCGGTGGAGGCTAGCGTTGGCGGGGCTCAGTGCTGTCTCAGTGATTCCGAGCAGCAGGGCTTTTCCCTAGCCTACCAGAGATGCTTCTTTCTCCCAACACAGACGCCTGAGGTCAGCACCCAGACAAAAGGCTGATGCGGGCACCTGCCCCAGAAACAGTGTGAACACTGAGACTGTCAGTACAAGTCGGGGTCAGGCCTTTCTAATGTTCTAATGGAGACTTTGGTTGGCAGGCTTAGTGGACAGGCAAATCTCGCTGCAAGCCCGCATGCTGAGCTTTGCTGCTTTTTTCTCATCCAGTTGCATATTTATAGTTAATGTGATCTTAACTTTGGAATAGGTAAGATACCATCAATAAAAGTATCAACTGTGGCCCACAGACACCTTGATCCCATTCCTGCTCCTGCAAGCTTACTTTCTATAATTATTCTCATTGGCTTTTCATTCATACTTCTGGGGCTTCTTTACTCAAATAAGAAAATGTATTCTTATTCCAACTCTTTTTATATAAGAATGAAAACCATACTGCTATTCCTTGTTTTTATTGCGTTGGTGCTGAGGATGAATCCAATGCCTTCCTCTTGTTAAGTGGGTACTGTACCACTGAACCCTGTACTGTGGGTTTTTGTTTTTTTATTGTATCATCTCCCCATATTTCCCAAGCTTTTTTTTTTTTTTTGGCAGTACCAGGGATCGAACTCAGGACCTTGCACTTGCCAGGCATCCAAGCTATTCTTGAGCTCAGGATACTCCTGTGTCAGCCTCTTGAGCAGCCAGATCACAGCTGCACACCACTGGTGATTCATCCCCTCTTTTTAATTTTTTCATTCTTTCTTTTCACTTACTTGCTTGCTTGCTTTGGTACAGGGTCTTGCTACACAGCTCAGACTCATAGTAATCCTCCTGTCTCAGCCTCCCCAGTGCTAGGATTACAGGCGTGCACCACCATCACACCCAGTTTCCATGGCCGGCATGGTAGCACCATGTGCGGTACCAGGGATCGAACCTGGGTCCTAGCGCTTGCCAGGCAGGTGCTTAGACCACCAGGCTATCTCCCATCCCCTCTCTTTATAACATGGGGATATTTATTATATCTAGAGGGCTTCCTCATTTTTTTTTTCCTGTCTGAACAGTACTCCACTGAAGAAAGAATTCCATAGACCCCTCTTTATTGGACACGCAGCTGCTTTGCAGTCTTGGCTTGTTTTGAGCAATAGCATGATAAGTGGCCTGGTATGTAAGTCACTTTTTACACAGGTAGTTAGATCTGTGGGATTGATTCCTGGAAATGGTTTGGCTGGGTCAAAGAACAAATGCAACTGGAATTTTAGAAGATATCTTCAGATTCCCTTCTACAAATGTTGCACATATGCTTCTGCAGAGGATTTACCTGAGAGCCCATTTCTCCAAAACCTCACCATCAGAGTATATCATCAAATTTTTTTGGGTGGTTGTTGTTGTTGGTTTTGTTTTGATACCAGGAATATAACTCAGGGCCCTGCACTTGCCAGGAAGCTGCTGAGGTATATCCCCGGCCCAAACTTTTAGATTTTTGATAACCAAAGGGATGAATTATGATAGTCTTAGTGTGGTCCTTATTTGCATTATGATTATGAATGAAGTTGGGCACTTCTTCATATGTCTGAGTCCCTTTATGTTTCTTTCTTTTTTTTTTTTTTTTTTTTTTTTTTTTTTTTTTGTACTTTTTGGGAAGGGTCTACAGGGTGTTGAGGGTGTCACTGCTAGATCGGACTCATAGTGATTCGCCTGTTCACAGCCTCCCAAGAGTTGGTATTACAGGTGCACACCACCACACCCAGTGTCAATTGCCATCTCAGCGCGCCCCCAGGGCGGGCCTACATGGCAGCCTGAGGGATTGAACCCCCACCCCCTGTGCCTGTTGGCAAGCACTTTAATCTGCTGAGCTATTTGGCCGGCCCGTATGTTTCTTTTTCTCGTGTCATTTGCCCACTTTTCCAGTGGACTTTCGACCTTTTCCTTCTTGATTAATCCTTTGACTCTAGGATATCTAAGCTTTTACTCCTGAGGCATAGATAAGAGACTATGAGCAAAAAAATTCTCAAGAACTCTTGACAGCTGCTGTCTGAAATTAATGAATTCTTCCACAATGCCAGGTGAGAGGAGATCTAGCCCAAGAGTGACATTTGCTGGACCCAAGATTCAAATTAAACTATTCCTTCCACAGTTAGGTCTCCCTCTCTGTCTCTCTGTCTCTCTGTCTCTATCTCTAGCAGGTTCTCCCTATCCCTTTCTCCCACCCCCCACCCCCCTTGAACCCAAGCCTTGCACATGCTAGGCAGGTGTTCTGCAACTGAGCTGTACGGTCCAGCCCTCCATGTCTGATCTTTTCAGGAACAAATTAGAACCCTGCAGAGAGCAAACTGGAAAGGAAACTGAACTTTCTTAATCCCCCCTCTCAGTTGGCTAGGAACAACCTAGCCAATCAGAAGTCTTCCATCTCTCCCTTTTGGAAGTACTCAGAGAAGAGGAAGTGGGAGGCAGCCTGGAGGTCCCCTTGAGGAGGCAGTGTTTTGGGGAAGAGGTGGGCTTCACCCTCAAAGGCTGGCCGCTGAGAGTGGGAGGGAGCTCACAGAGTAGGGGGCTCTCCTCCTTACTTCTTTTCCCAGCCTCCATATCTGTGTGGGATGGGGAAGGAGCCACATTCACTTGCAGGCCTGTGCTCCCAGAGGCTGCTGTCTCACAGAATGCGTCTTCCCAGACCTAGGAGAAAACCAGCTCTTGGTATCCTGCAGTTTTAGATTTGTCCTCAGCATCCTCCCCCTGTGCCAAAAAGTAAAACCTCAGCACAAAGAAAAGCTGCCACATCATCTCTCTGGGGAATCCACTGCAGCATCTTCTGAGCCTATGATTTGGAAGTATTATTCTGAAGTTGAACTTCACTTGTCATGATTGCCATCAAAATCCCTTCTCTTAGCCGAGCATGGTGGCACACACCCGTAATCCCAGCATTCAGGTGGCTGAGGCAGGAGGGTCCTTGTAAATTTAAGATCAGCCTGGGCTACAAAGTGAGCTCAAGGCCAGTCTGAACTGCATAGTGAGACCCTGTGTGAAAAAAACAAAACAAAACAAAAAAATATGTTCTCTTGTATTCCTTCCTTGAGGGGAAGAACCAGTGAAAGCCTCCTGCCACAACTGCCCTCCAGCTGTGATGGGAGACACACCTCCACCTCTTTCTAGTGTGTCTCCCTTTTCCTTTCTTCTTCTTCTGCTCTCCCCACCCTTGTGCACTGGGGACCAGTCCCAGAACATTACACATGCAAGGCCTGTCCTGTGTCACCAGTTTACACCTCTCTGCTAATCTTATGTGGGCACTTGAGAGAGAAGACCTAGGTCTCCTTTGCCTTTGAAGGCCTCTCTACCCACCTAACATTGGATCCCCCTCTTTTAGCACAGTGGCTGCCTGAAACGCCTTAAAATTGCATCTCCTGGCAGGTTAATTAACTAATCTCTTCAAGAACATTCTCTGTAGCACTTTCAGCATTTCTGGAAGCCTATTCGTTTTGAACCATAGACCCTCCATAAGAAGTTTCCACAAACTAACATTCAGGAAGTTCCATGCCCTGAAGCTGCCTTGGGGCTCTATTCTACAATCAGCCACCCTACCCCTTCATGCACACAGTCTCTATGTTTTTCTCTGCAGTCGTTCTGTTGCTCAACTCTGAGGGCAAAAGAAAAGGATACACACAAAGGGGCGCATCAAGCTGCAGCCTAAGAGCAGTGTTAGGTCAGGCGATGCACTGATCACCACTTGGAACATGGAGGATTCAGCACAATGGAGATAGTGGGATTAAAAACAGCTGTGCTAAAAAAAAAAACAACAAAACTGTGCTACCTTAGGAACAGAACAGAATGGGAAAGCCAAGTGTGGTTTCATACCCCTGTAATCCCACCACTCCGGAAGGCTGAGGCAGGAGGATCACAAGTTCAAGCTCAGCCCAGACAACTTAGAGACTCAGTGAAACGGTGTCACAAAATTAAAAACTAAAAAGGGCTGGGGTTGTTCATTGCAAAGGTCTTAGGTTAAGAGAGAGACAGAGACAGAGAGAGAGATGTAAAATGAACAAGATTAGCTTTGACCCTCTGAGAGCTCACAATAGATGTGGAAAACGAGCTGGAACAGCTTTAACCAAGGTATAGTCGAATGGTTGTTAGAACAGGAGATGAAGGGAGAGATTCTCTGCTTGCCAGAGAGATGACCAATGGGCAAGATTTCTCAGATGAGCATTGAAGATAGAGAAGATTTCAACAGGTCTGACAACCAGTCCAAGGCTGGGGCTCTTACAGGCACTTAATAAATGTAGTAGTTGATGGATGAGAGGACAAAGTGTCACTGGATAGATCTCACATCTGCAGACACACAAAATTGTGCTGTCACCCTTGACGTTAGTTAACCATGACTTGTGTCCTAACTCTGGGTTAAGGAGGCTGTGGCACTGAGCACCTCTGTTCCTGCAGGGCTTGACCTCCTGGGCCTGCGGGGAGGAGAGGAGGGGAAGGAAGGAAGGCATCAGCTACAGGGGCAGGTGATGAGAGCAGTCTTAGCTGGTGCTGGGGCACCCTCCCGGCTGCTCTGACTCTGCTGTTGGCTGGGGTGTTGCAGGAGTGGGCAGATGCCTGCTGCAGGGGACTCCGGAGCGTCCACGCCTACATCCTGGTCTACGATATCTGCTGCTTTGACAGCTTTGAGTATGTCAAGACCATCCGCCAGCAGATCCTGGAGACAAGGTGAGTGGCTGTAGTCATCTAGTGCCACCCCTGTGACTCCTCCAATGCTGTCCTGCCCCTGAGGAAATGGGACAGTGGGCGGTCACAGGGTAAATACATGTGCCCTCTTTGCAACACATACTTTCAAACATACACACAGTTGTATTTTCCTGTCCTCGCTTCTGTTGACTCATTTTGGGACCTCAAGGTTGCTAGGACTAGTTAACGTGTGAGCCTCAGTTTCCTCATCTGTAAAATAGGAACAACAGTACCCATTTTGGATCAGCTGTGCTGATCAAAGGATGTTAATTCACTGAGGGCTGAGGGCTGCACCTGAAGCAGAACAAAGAGTACGAGAATCCTGTGATTGTGAGACTGGCCAGGTTTTGAGATTCTTTTTTTTTTTTTTTTTT